ATGTCTTCTTTTATCTTTTCCCCATCATCACGTCAAAAAAAGTATGTGTTTTGTTTTGCAGGTGCAAATTAAACCTAGAGATAACACTGAAAAATAGATACCAAGTGATGAAATGCAATGCTTGTAGGTAAATAGGATTTATGCGTATTGATGAATAAAATATAATCTGCAGTGGTAAATTTGTATATGCACAATCATAACCAGTGAGTCGAGCATAAACACAAAACAAATGCTCATATAATCTCTGTCTTAAGAGTACACATACACACCCCTATCTGTATGGCACTAGGAGAGGAGCTGCAACCTAATTAAAAGCTATATAAAATCTATAATAGATATTCAATATTGGTCTAATTGCATCTTTTTGACACCCTTCCTATAAAATCTATTACTTCATCAAAAGAAACATTGCAATAGATGTTCGATATTAGTCGTACCTAATCAATGTACAGCCGCAAAGTCTACATCTTCCTTTTCTTATAGCTCATTTTCTTAATTTTTCTTTTTTAATCAGGACTAATGTTTGTACTGTGCTCCAGATTCTTGAAGAGAGATCCAAATGATAGATAAGAAACTCATCTAACATTTTTACTCTCTTCTCCTTTGTTTTCCAGACATGTAACACTGTCCACCAATTAGATTTGGCAGACACCTGACTATATGTAAGGAATTCCTCTGTAGTCTTCTATTGGTGCCAGTAATGGTAGAAAATACTGTTTTTAAAAGTGAAAAGCACAAACTATGACAACAACCATGGGACTTGGAAGTAAGAAATGAAGCGTGCACTGCTTTGAAGTGAAGAACAATGTTTACAGAAAATTAAAAGCTACCAACATATATGAATTTAGTATATAAAATTGCAATAAGAATAACTAATTCAAACATCCATTGTACAATAATAGCAATTTCCACAGGGTACTTGCTACCTCCCACTACTACGGGTCACATCCAGCCTCCTCTCTACCTTTTTCACCACTCCATTCCATATCTCAAGTGCTTTGTATTTGCATCTAAAAGGAGACCCAAATAAGTAGAGGGTCTGAAGTCTCTAAGATGTAATCATCCCTTTCTTTTTGGTATAAGAGCTATGAATGAGGCATTGTTGGATTTGACCATGTGGCAATGCCGATGGAACTTGGAAGTGGTTGAGAGCTCCCATATATATTACTTGCATGGGATGCACTTATTGGAAAAGAGTAGTCAAATATCAAATAGGTGTGTACCTATGTATTTAAGCCTTTAATCATTTGTACTGTTTGACCATCATTTAGAAATGTGCTTAACCGCGTATTTTCTTTTGGGGGGACTTTAACTCTTCTTAAGTACTGCTTTTCCATCCAGAAAAACTCACTCACTCACTCACTGAATAACTACTTCATAGATTCGTCACCTTTTCAAAGAGTGACCCGAGTTAACAAAGTCTCATTTCTTGTAAATCCATCTCTAAAGATGACTCTCACCCTTTCTAGTTCATGAGTACCAATAGCTCTAACCCTAAGCCTCTAAGAGACAAAGATCAGAAAAGATAGATCGTTCGGAGATATTAAACAAATAAAACAATGTAAAAATATCAAATATTTACTGCATCACCTTTTGACAGTATACACATGTGATGCTTAGCTTGGTTTAACCTAACTTTAAGGAAACTCCAAGAGCAACATTAGGAAACACAACAAGCTAAATTTTAGTTTACTAGCATACCTGAGAATGTTGAGCACCAACTCCATCTGTGGCACCATTAGGACCCCTGAAGACGATGGGGACTGAGATCTGACCGGCATACATGTAATTTGATTTTGCAGCATAATTGATAATATGGTCAATTGCCTGCTGAATTCCAAAATATTATACCTTCAATCAGCATTCATAGGTATAAACCATAATCAAGAAAAACCTTTGAGAATTTCGCTCACAAAGCCTTTCAGTATTCTCATTGAATTCTTCTTAAGACAATTTAACACCTAAGAAATTGAGACAAAATAGTAATGAGTACACGTATCTGCAAAATCAATTAAAGGAAGAACAAACTCACAAGATTTCTGGTGAGCTTTACTTCATTCTCGTTCTTTCATGTAACACCCATTTCATAGTGACAGATTCCTGTTAATTTTTCCCAATTTCCAAACCAAAAACACATAAAAAGTGAAAGACGACTTTGAATTTGATAAATAAGAAATCAATATCTCAGGAAAAAAAGAAGATTAAACCCAGAAACTGAAAGGAAAACTCTAGAAATTTAAATTAGAATGAAAATTACCTTTGATTTTGATAGTCAAATGTGAAATTTCATCACCAAAATTGATGCACCAGCTCGGAACTCGAATCACTCTTCTCTAATTTGCCATCAATTTCTAAAAGCCCTCTTCTTCGCCAACAGTGAGTATGGGAGAATGAATAGAAAAGTAGAACATGATGGAAAAGATGAAAACTTGATGCAAGAACCAAAGCAAAATAATGAAAAACCAGAGGCAGGAGGACGTGTGTAGTACACATGTTTATTTACCAGTGAATAGGGCACAATGGTGTAGTACAATTTTTAATGATATAGGTACAAATTTGTGGTGTTGTGTTGGTACTCCAACTTGTTGGCTTATATATAATGGTAATAAATATATGAGTGGTTGATCACATGTTAATAAAAAAAAATATCATTAGTACATGTTTCAATTCAACTCCCAAAATATTGAGGCGGAAAACGATAACTAACCTCAATGGCAAAGACATTTAGATAAGTGCATGTTCATATCTCGAATGTGCAAAATATTACTTCTAATTTTTTTTTCCATACATTTATAATAGGCATTTATCGAACATGATAGTGAAATTTGAAAAATATGATTACAATAGATCGATTTGACTCTCGTCCTCCTCTTTCTCTTCTTCTTTCTTCTCTTCCTTTCCTCGTCTTCTTCTTTCTCCTCTTTCTCCTCCTCCCCCTATTAATTTTTTGATTACTTTATTAAATATAATCAAATTTAAACTTTTGAAATTGTACATATATATTGATATCACTTGAGTATTTATGTCATTTGATTAATTTTTGGCAATTAATTTTCCAAATTCATGGAAGAATCACACTTTCGTTAGAATGTGCCATTTGTTACGTAAAATATTAGTAAATTTTAATATAACACAATATTTATTTGAAATGATTACATGAGCGTCATTTCTCTTGATTATTAATTTATTACTTTGCAGGAAGTAAATATATAATTAAGGCATAATACATAAATATGATGCTTAACTTGGTTTCAACGGACTACTATGATCTTTAGTTTTGAATCTGTACAAGTAGACATTTAAACTTGTATAAAATTGAGCAGATAGACACATTCGTCGTACATGACAAATTTGTGTCCTACGTGACATCCTATGTGTGCTATGACACGTAGAACACATGTGTCTACTTATTTAATTTTATACAAATTTAAGTGTTTAATTGTACACAACCAAAATTGAAGGATATAAATAATAGTTAAAGCCTAGTTAAATAGCATATTTATGTATTATGCCTGAAATTAAAATAGAATTGTGCCACCATGCACTATAAATAGCTTAACAACATTTGGCTTCTTATTTAGGAAAAACCACTAATATAGATTAATTTTAGGACTTCTCCGTTCAAACTCCAGTAAAAAAAGTTTGAAGTTTTTTTTTTTTTTTTGGTTAAACTAAGGGTATTTTAATCAAAAATTTGTTTTCACATAAAAAATAGTTAAACATTGAATTATTTTGAAATGCTTGATTAGCGATCCAAGAAATGAATACTTATTTTGTCCCTATTTATGTGACATAAGTAAAATTTCATAATTTTTAAAAATTTGATCACAAATTCAAACATAAATTTTTAAATTTTTCTGAAATAAAAAATATATTTAAAAATCACGTAAAAAATACTATAAATTACAATGCTCCTTCAATTCATTTTTATATGTCCACTTTGAGTTTTTTACACCCATTATAAAAATAATGAACATAAGCATTTTATCATCATACAATGAAATCTCACTAAATTAATACTCGGTTAATTAATAACCTCTCTAAAATAATATTTTCCTTCGGTCCCGACTTGCGCCAATGGAAAAAATCACCTATTTCGATAAAATAATATATTTTCAGAAGACCCATATATAAATATATGGTCCCATTAATATTATAAATTAATAATTCTTTAAAAGTACAAATATATCTAAGATAGTTTAGTGAAATATGATTCTATTGTGTTCTGTTTTTTGTTAAAATTTAATTCTAGTTGAAGCTCATCTCTAACTTTTCTTATTGCATCAAAAAAATTCGGTGTTGCCTTTTCAAACTACACCATAAAATCGTGAAGAGTTCTAAATGCGATAAGTGCTTCCTTACGCGTAATTGGTTCCAAAGGTATTGTATCATCTTCAACTTTATCATCAACATTATTTTTTTCAATTATATCCACAATTTCTTCTAAGCTCTAAACCTTTGAACATGTATCATTTTCACCCATCTAACGAGTTATAAACATCCATTTTATTACGGTAACCAAGATCACTAATCATGATTCATAAATGACGTTTTCACAAGTGGGTTTATTTAAATTCTCTGAGATTTCATCCCTCGAAACATTCTTTAAATTAATAAATATTAATTTATCGATAAAATAATATCTTTATAAAATAATAATATTTCATGATCCACCTATATTAATTTAGTGAAATTTTATTGTACTCATATTAATTGATTTATAGTCTTATGTTTTAAAAAATAATTAGACAAACAAGTACTAATTAATATTAAAACTTGATAATTTTATTTCAATATGTTAAAATTTAAAAGTGACAAGTAAATGAAAATTTACTTTTACTATAGTGAATAGAAAATAATTAACAACTTAAAATATTTGAGTAACGTATAAAAAATTTTAAATATTGAATCTCAAAATTATCATATCATATAAATTGAGACGGACGAGATTATTTGTCATGTTTCTCTCTATCTCCACGTAACAAACTCAACGTGCTTGGCTCGCAAATTCACGATCGCTTTCCTTTCCCGTAACTCAGATTCTCTCAATTTCTTTCTCTCTTCACATCGACTCAATTGTTCATTAAAATCTCAGTTTTCAAATAACAATCAAAATCTACAAATGAAGGACGATGAATCGATACCGGTATCTACACCGACGACGGCGTATTCATCGTTGAATACAAATTCAATACATTCGAAATCATTATATGATGCTACATTGTTCGGAAGAGGTCGGTACAAGTTTTGGGCATTGGCTGCTATTCTTTTGTTAGCATTTTGGTCAATGTTTACAGGTACTGTTTCACTCCGATGGTCTGCCGGAAACCTTAATAGTCTCTCCGATCTCTTCGATATTCCGAAATCAGATGATCTCGACGTCCTCGTATGTTTACTATGCTTATCCTTTTTTTTTGTTCTGTAAATAAGTTGGATCCAGTATTGGTTAATTTTACTCCATTTTTCTTTAAATGTTTTTTGCATTTTCGGTATTTCTAGATTCAAATTAGTTTTGTTCGAATTACCTCTGAAAATTAGTTAAGTTGACTATTAATAAGCTGGTAAAGTTGCTGATCAGGAGGTTACGAGTTCGAATTGTGAAAATAACCTCTTGCAGAAATGTAGAGTGAGATGGAGTCTTGTTCGATTTAGCTCCAAAAATTAGTTAATTTGTTTGTTAACAAGCTGGGAAAGTTGTTGTCATGTGATAAGGAGATTACAAGTTTGAATTGTGAAAATAACCTCTTGCAGAAATGCACGGTAAAAGATGGTGTACAATAGATCATTGTAGTCTAGTCCTTCCAGCTTAGTGCATCGGTTTTTTTTTTTTTTTTGACCATCAATAAGCTAAAAGTGTGTTGAATAAATTTGGATGGGGAGGGTTACATTGTGAGGGTGTTGATTGATTCTTTGAGAAAATCATAGTACTCTTTTTGCAGGAAATGGAAGACAGGGAGAAGTTGGTGAATCATATGTGGGATGTGTATACTAATAGTCCTCGGATCAGGCTGCTTAAGTTTTGGCAGGAGGCGTTTGAGGCGGCCTATGAGGAGTTAAACAGTGACGTTGCTGAAGTTCGAGAGGCTGCTATATCCGAGATATCTAAGATGTCTATCCGATTTGTTCATATTGATCTGCCACCTTTGCGTTCGATGGTTAGCTCTCTCTCTGTGTTTCAGTCCAGTTATATGGGTGCATATAGTTCACAGAAAGTTGATTCCTTATATTATGATTTCTGAGCATGCTACTTTTTTTTTTTGATGAAATATTCTGAGCATGCTACTTTGAATAGTTAAAAACCTGAGAGCTGTTGTTGTATGCGGATATAACAAGTTTCTACAAGAATCAGTTTGTGAAAGATAACATTGATAACAATTAGATTTTGTAGGATCGTGAGTGCATAGATGATTGAGCATTAGGTGCAAATACAAGTATCCAATGTAATATAGGTAACAATTTTCAAGGCTTAATTAGTAGATAGTTCAGGTTACTGCATCTGCACTATTCTACCTTGTCTTGTGGGGCAGTTGGTGGAACTTGATCCATCATTGGATTATTACTATTAATTTGAACATTGATCTCAATTTGCCTCACAAATTAAACCTTGTCTTGAGCGTATAGACTTGTTATTTTCTTTATAAAGTAATGATGAACTTGTTATTTTATTTGTCCATTTACTTGGGATGCCTTCTTGTAAGGAAGAAAAGTGAATTTCCAAATTGGAAAGATTTTCCTCTAATCTAAATTTTATAATTTGGTGACTTTTCATGGCGATTAATCAAATTAATTTTTTTAATTGTTAAAATTAAATAATGTTACAATGAGTTAGTATTATATTTTGTTTGGGGTTAGTATGCTATTTAGAAGATTCAAATCTGCTATAAAGATAACATATAGATTCAAATTTGTAGATAATATTGTCTCTCTCTGAGTCTCTATTAATTCAGCTTTCAAGATGACAAATGTTGCCACATAGAGAAAGATGTATAATTTTCAGGACATACCATAGGTGAAAGTCGATCAAAGTGAGAAGGATGTAGTAATATTCTTCTTCTTACATATCAATGACAATGCATAGGAACAGTATACATCTTGATAGATCACTTTTCCCTTAGAAGTTGATTATTTTGAAGGAATAGGAATGAAAGGAAAGGAATGAAAAGGAAAGATATTGTACCTTTACCAATTGACATGCTCTCTTACTTTGTTTCCTTCTCATTCATATCTTTACTATCATATCTAGTTGACCCCTTTGTAACTCATTCAGCCCCGGTTATCTTCTAAACTTCCAAAAGACAGAGCTGCTATGCTTTCTCATACTTCTGCTTGACAGAAGTGACTAAAAGTTTGTTGTCATCCTCTAAAGAAACTTATCCTGATGCAGATATCGAGTGTGTCCATGTGGGTGCTATGGTGGTCATAAACCCCATCCCTTTAAATTTTCTTACAGTCTTGATAGGCGCGTAACACATTATCTATCACAAATTTGAGATAGAGATTCGCGCCCGTTCTCCCTTTGTTGGCACAAGACTAGAATAATACTATGCCTCAATCCAAAACAAGTTGGGGTCGGTTATATGAATCCTCATTGCACACGTCGCTCCATTTCGTATTTGGCACTAGAATCATAAAACTTTTCCTCCATCCCCACCATTTGTCATCATGCACCCCTTATTTTAGCAATTAAGGCTCCAATATTGGTGCCTTGATTGTTGCCGCTCTCACAAATCATCAGTACTTGGCATGAACAATTTCAATCAACTTTAATAATGAACTGGCATCCACATAAGTACTTACCATCTAAACATTTTACCAGCAAATGCCACAATACAAAGGCACAGCTAGATCAACTGCTTTCAAGTTCCCAAGTTAAAGGCTGAGTGGTTGATATGTAGAATAACTACATGTATCTCAGGTTCGAATCTTGTTATAATACTCACTTACTCAGTGAGTCCATCTGCTCTAGTCTTTGCGGACAAGATTTATCCCACCGCTACTTATGAATTATAGCAGACTGTCCTATGGATTAGTCGAGATGTGCCCAAGGTTTGGTCTGGACAACTCTATATTTAACAAAAAAATCAATTGCTTAGTCCTTTTCCATTTATACTTGGGAAATTGGTTTCTATGTTGCATGTTTACCCCTATATCCAAATTCTATTGGGGGATAAGAGAGTTGTCTGGATTAGCAAATCAGGACCTTGGATATGTCGTAAACGTGATAATGGACTGAATACCAATTCTCTCTCTTCTCCCATTTCTTATGTGGATAAGATTGTGAAGCTGATTGTTCTCTCTCTTAACTTCTTTTCATGTTTGTTTACATTCTCCATCAATTTTCTTTTTGTAATTTTTTTTCATTTACTTGAGATTTTTGAAATCGTTCATCTACTATAGACTTTCTTAGGTCCAGTGTTTGGTTCTTGAACAGTACTTCAAAGTTTGTCGAGTGAAATGCAGTCATTCTATTGTTGCAACCATCTGTCTGTCTGTTCTGCTTCTGCATGTCTACACATTCTTCAAGATTTTTTCCCGTAACTCTTTTTTTTCCATATTTCTAAAATCCTTGGATGATAGAACAATTTTTTCTTCTTCTAGCTAGCTGTAACCTTTTATGGTCTGTTCTGGAATTCGTATACTTCTTGATTTTGTTTTACCTCATGATCTGTCATTTTTGCATTTTTTAAACTGAATACTATCCTCTAGCTGTTCCTGTGCAAAACCCGTGAGATCTTTAGTTGCATGCTTATCACTTCTATATTTCAGTCTTCCTTTCATTAGAGAGCTTGCAAACTCATCTGTTCTTGGCGTGCGAATCTCGAACGAGTTGAATAAGTACAACATCAGCCACTATACTTCTGCAGAATCTTTCCTGGAGTTGCTATACTGGGCTTCTACCAAGTTAATTATTCAAGATCTAAACGCAAGCAAATCATCCGTTTAGAGGATTTGTTATGAACTTTTAAGGGAAAAATACATCGTTTCCACACTTGTGATCTTTTTTTTTGGATAACCGTGTTGTCAGGGCGAGCTTACACGCACCTTGACTAATTCCACCGGATACCTGCCACATGTGTGATCTTTTAGGGATGATAGAGAACGATACTGCTTTCGGGGAGAAAAGAGAATTTTAAATTAGGAATTCAGTAATGTAAAGGTGTATGTATCTAAAAGAGGACTGATCTGCACAACACTAGAGCGGGGTTTACTCTGTGTGCACCTGAAGGGTATCGGCTGCGAGTTCTGTTGTCATCATCCAAAAAAAAAAAAAGGGTGACAAAGGATCTCCATCTCCATTCTCCTATTCCTCTATAGTGAACTTGTGCCATCCCTAACCCTATTTATCCACCTTAACATATTTAAGTGCAGGATAGTTACAGGGAGAACTCTTTTGTTAATGCATTTGTTGAATGTGGTAAGAGTTCTGGAAAAGGTTACATGATCCTTTCGTCAATCTAACTGTCAACTTTATTCAAATAATCCTTGTTTGATCTTCATGAGGGTCACTTTGGATTTGTACTACAATGTGCCTATTTAGGTTTGACAGATAAACTAACTGCTGCTTGCTGTTACTTTTAATTTCTTTTTAGGGAAAATGCATTAGTACCCCAAATATGCCCGAAATCCCAGAGACACACTTATACTATACTAAGGTCCTATTACCCCCGAACTTATTTTATAAATAATTTTCTACCCCTTTTCGGCCTACGTGACACTATCAACCAGATAACTTGAAAAAATTGTCAACACGCGCCGAGCCCAGAAGATAGTATCACGTAGGCCGAAAAGGGGTAGAAAATTACTTACAAAATAAGTTTGGGGGTAATAGGACCTTTGTATAGTATAAGTGTGTCTCTGAGATTTCAGGCATAGGTTGGAGGGATACTTATGCATTTTCCCTTTTTTTTATAGGTAAGATTTTGTAAGCTGCTCGTAGTTCTCTCCATAGTACGTTCCACCTGCCCTCTTTCACACTTATAATTGCACTTTGCAATTGCTCCCTGAACATTCTTGTTAATTTTGCGATTACTTCTTGAACATTTCCAGTCATTTTAATTGGCATGCATGATTGATCTTTCCATGAACCGTTTCAGGCAGTAAGAAAATTAAGTCAAAAACAAGCTGAGAGCAAACAGAGGACCGCAACGGGAAGTAAGTTATGACTAGAAGAACATCAAGGGTCCAAATTTGCACGGTTGCCACTTATTTATACAAGACAAATGAAAACGTACACAAACCTGCTCCCTGGTATTTGACTAAAGGTGTATCTGGGTAAAGATTACGCGAATTTTTGCAATAGGGATAAACATTTCTAATGTTTTGTTACCTGTACCTCTTTTTTTCCTTTCGATTTCCATCTCTCCAGACTCCATTGAAAAATCATATGAGTGCAGAGTTCAAGAAAATCATTACTTAATTGCTTCATGCTAAGAGATCGGAAATTACACTAGAAGACCCTTACTGATTTTCTTGTATTACAGTTGAGATACCAATTATACAAAGTTGCACGGGAATAGAAAGATTATATTTTATGAGTTCTCATGTGGTAAACTTGTTTTTGGTAGTCTCTCAAGTGATTACATGCAGCATGCGGCCCTGTTTGCATAAAAAATTGCAACTCTACTCACTTCGAAACAACTTCAGGCACTGCGTATCTGAAATTAGGCTTGTTGGACAAAATGTCTGCAAGTTTTATATGACATGAGATCTGCATATATGGTGGTCTTTTGATTTCTAACTATGATATGACCTAGAGCTTGCTAGAAGAATATTTCTATCTTTTCAGGATTTTAGAATAGATTTGGTGCTTGCTTGAATGTTACTAGAGGTGATTAGTATTTTCATCCCCCAATTGTTGCTAGTATCAATTTCAATTCCTTGAAAGTTATTATTATTTGGATGGATGGGAAAAAAATAATTTATATATCATGTTTGTCTCCGCTGAAAATTAAGCATTAGATCTCATGATGCTCAATCTACTTCATTGACTACTTAGTCACACATCCTCGATTGCAGATTGAGGCATATGTTTCCTAGAAGCTTCCACATATTTAAATGACTTGAAATTTTACATAAACATCTCAATTGAACACATATATTTAGTTGAAGAAGTCTAAGTGAAAAATCGTACCTAATATGATTATGTTTTTTTTTTTCCATTGGATTCCATACTATCTTTTCTTACTTGAATTGACTTTTCATTGGGCCTATCTTGCATAAAGTTTTCATCACAATTATGACGATGCTTTGCTATTTTTCCATCTCAAATGGTTATAGAAGGCATATATATATATATAAGGACAAATTACTTAACTACACTCATTTACTTACCTTAATCTTCATTTATCCCTACTTATTTCAAAAATTTCAAAAATACCTTATTTTACCTATGTATCCTGCATGTATCCCGTGCACTACGCTATGTATCTCGCTATGTGGAATGTATCAAACGCTATGTATCTTGTGCACAACGCTATGTATCTCGCATGTATCCCGTGCACAACGCTATGTATCCCGCTATGTGGAATGTATCAAACCTAATGTATCCCGTGCAAAACGCTATGTATCCCGATATGTGGAATGTATCAAATCTAATGTATCCGGTGCACAACACTATGTATCCCGCAAACATCATTTTTAAGGGATTTTTGGTAAATAAAAAACTAGAAGGGATAGGATGTTATTTAGTACTTATAATATGTGGTCCCTATAATTTATACTATATATAATGATACAAATGGCTTCATGATGAAAACAAATGATTGCTTTTCTCTCTCCCATATGCCTTAATCAACAATAAGGACCCTTGTACACTTCCTCAACATCCTGTCCCTTCATTCTTACAAAATACACAATTCATCACCATTGATCATCTTCTGTTCGAAGAAATGATTCATCAAGATAACGAGTCACAACTGATATCGACACATCATGATCATTTCCCCATAATCACCTCACCCTCCTTCAAACACCACGTGTCGGTGACCCCAATAACCCCCGCCGGCCAATGTAGCTCAAGGAATGGAGAAGCATTCAGTACTACGTCCGATGATAGCCACACTAGGTCTTGTTGATTACTCCTTTCGTTTCTGTTTATGTCACACATTTATTATTTGAAAAGTGAACTTCTTTGACGTACCATATTTTTTTTATGAGTTACTTTTAATATTTTAAATTATTAATTATTTTGATTTATAGTATTTTTTATATATTCAAGCATTATCTTAAGATTTTACTATTGAATTTGCGCACACAAAAATTAGAAAGTATTTTGAGTACTCTCCTTGAGTGGTGCCAAACAAAGTGGAACAAAGAGAGTAGTGGAGTTATACTTATAATAATTTTTATTTAAATTTTTTAATTAAAGAATAACATAAAATTCTAATGACTTGAGTTAAATCATAAGGTTTAAAATTTTATAATACAGTTTAATTTATAAACTTTCGCTATAAAAATTGAGATAGAGAGAATAATATTATAGTGAGATGGTTGTTACGAAAACTTTTTTCTTTAAAGACATTACATATTAAAAAGTACTTGATATTTTTGAATTTTACTTAAGTTTAAACAAAACCTTTAAGAATATGATTATTCTAAACAAATGTAGTCTCAAAGTCTTTCTTTCTTATATTCTGATTATTTCATTTTTCTAGTAGGTCACCTTCACATGAATTCAAGTGGAAAAATGAAGAAGACAAGTGGCAACATTTTGTCAAGACGACCTCCGACGATGATACAGAACAACAACCTCGTAGGAAAATCTCTTACTCCTCTATCTCCGACGATTCAGACAACGACAAGGTTTTAGCAAAGAAGAACAAACACCAAAGTAGTGGAAATAAAAAAGTTAGTACTAGTAAAACAAAATTCCTTATGATGATGAGCACTACGTCCCCATCATCATCAGTGAATGAAAATGAGATTAATTTTACTAGTAGAAAAGTTAATTGGGATTATTATGAGAATATTGATATTACTAATGAAGATGAAGAAGACGAGACTGAGACGTTTATATCTTCTTCTTGTAAAAGCCATGTGGAGTTTTCAGATGATTCATCTTCGAATTTTAGCCAAGAGTTTGATACAATTTACAAAAATACCACTAGAAGGAATCAAAAAAAGATTGGCTATAGCAAGAGAAGAGATGTCAAAAACACAAGATCTAACGTTTCAAGGGGCATGAACAATATTGGTACGTTCCTAGTGTTGAATATATTATGTGATTGATTTATCGATCTGAAAGTTTAAACAATTAGATGATGGAGTATATCTTTAGAGTCTGTTTGATTATAAATGGATTAGGTTGAATTATATTACCATTTCATTTAAGAACTTAAATATAAAGAGGAATTATATTAAGTGTTAATGCGCCTCCTCCTCAAGCGAGTAAGTTATGAACCTAAAACCTTTTATATACCTACTTAAGTACGTACTTTATTGAAATGCCTATTCATCTCATTTAAAAGCTTAAATTGATATAGAGTATTACGTCTTAACTAATTTTTCAGGTAAACGGTTATCAATTTCAACGTCAACGACATCATCGGACGGTGAGTTACCTCCAAGGTTATCGGTGTTCAAGAAGTTGATACCATGTAATGTGGAAGGGAAAGTAAATGAGAGTTTTGCCATAGTGAAGAAATCAGAGGACCCGTATGAAGATTTCAAAAGTTCGATGATGGAAATGATTTTAGAGAAAAAAATGTTTGAGAAAAATGATTTGGAGCAACTTTTGCAATGTTTTTTGTCATTAAATGCTAAGAATTGTCATGGGGTGATTGTTGAGGCTTTTTCTGAGATTTGGAAGACATTGTTTTCACCCAATCATAATTAATGTTAGTTGTTAGGATAATTTCAAGAAATTAATTAGTACTCTGTTCGTTTATTTTTACTTGTCATGTCTTTTCGAGAGTCAATTTGTATGGTTTTAGACTAGTATTTTAAAATATATTGTTTCATCATATATATTAATATGAGAATGATTGCAACTTATATTTGCGTATTCTTCTTTATTCATTTATAAATTATGTTGTAGTTTATATTCTAAGTTATTTATTTGTATTTCTAGATATAAAATAGTCTTTCTTTGTGCTATTATAGATTTGTGACAAATTCCTGCAAATATATTACCATTAAGTCTATTTTGCCTATGTTCTAATTCTTGTCTTTTTGCTATGATTATTTCGTTAAGTTTTTGTCTATATTCGTTATTTTTGCTATTCATTGTATTTTTAAATATTGAATATATTTATATTCTATTTTAGATATATTATCTATTAATTGATTTAATTTTTCGTTATCAGTTTTTGTGATATTAAGTTGTTTATATTCCGGATATAATTTGTTTAATTTTCTTCTTATTTTTCTTAATTTTCTACTTGTATGTTTCTTACCGTGTTTCTTATTATCCATAGCTCTGATACAATTTTTCGGTGCGAAATTGGTAACTGAGGAATTCATAGAAGTGGTAGTGTGGTAGGTAAGTATTTTATTTTAAAGATTTTATTATAATATTCTTTTGCTAAGTGTCTTAATCTTGATATCTCTTTAATATTATTTTTTGGTAGTGCTAAATTCATAGTAATATGTAATAATATTTATTGTAATATTCTTCCGATAGTTGTTTTAATCTGAATATTTCTTTAATATTATTTATGATATATTCTAAATATAACATATCTTGGGTTCTTTGGTACATTTATAAATTTTCCTCCATTAATTGTTCTAATAGTTTTATATCTTCCATAGATTCTATCCAATATTGTAAATATTCGTAGTTCATTTTAATCTGAATTTATTTCTAAATCATACCATTCTATTCTTTCGGAGTCTAAATCATGTAGGTTTATTTCATACCATTGCTGATTTAATATATCTTCTGATTCGTCATAATTAAATATTTTTTCCCATATTATTCTTCTTAATTCAATTATTTATATACCGTTAAGTATATATAAGATTAAAGTTTCACAGTTTTTTATCATTTCATCATGCACGTATGTAGTCATGTTCGTTGTTATGCGAGGTTTTTCAATTATTCCTTCCTATCATATTCATAATCGATTAAATTCATATTAGATTATTATGAATTAGATTATCTGTTTATCATGTTATCCTGCCACTACTAGCATCGTACTTTAGCGGATACTTTCTTCTTATTAGCGCCTCAACTTTGTTTACTCCCCTAAACGGCTTTCCTCGCCTACCGGTTTCAACATTAGGATGGCATAGTATAGAAGTTTTCTCCCTGTTTTCAGTGTGCTAATAAACTAGAAATCATGATTCAAATAATTCTAATACATAATAACTAACATAAATATTCAATCATATATATGATATTCAGGAATATATGAAATTAGTTCCGCATATTTTTTGAACAATATACCTTTGCCTCTTGCTTATTCATGTTATCTGAAATATCTGATTGGATTTCAGATTGTTGCTCCATTTATCTAAATACTAAATTTTTAGTTGAGATAGTTTTCTGAAAGAAAGTTTTATTACGCTAGGCATTGCCTGCCTTCTTTAAGTTACATATCCTTTCTTTATATAGAAAGGATTTTCATACTACACTACAATAATGTACTATTCACCTTAACACTTGTCACCTAATAAATTACACCCCTTACCATCCCTTACACATGCCCATCCTTATTATGACACACATTATGACTCACTACTTATCATTATGACACATTACCATTCACACCATACTTTATTGACTTTTTTACAAGACAAATAATTTTACTCTTATCTCATCTTTTTATTTTGTCCGCATCTCATCTTCATTTTTTTTTATCTTATCATCTGCTTCCGTCTTTATCTCTTCATTCCAGCTAGACGTCTGGGATTATATTATCTTCTCCGTTACATTTTGAACATATATGGTCAAGGTATTTGTGACCAATTAGCTTGTAATATCTGGTTAATAATTCTACCGAAATAAATCCTTCTTTTAGTGCTCGTGTCATAGGTCGTTCTTCTGGCTTAAGTAGTGATAAAATCCATCTTTGGACTTCATCCATATCTGTTTTCCTTAGCTCCCTTGAATTGGAATAAATCATTAGCTGGTCTCTTGCATAGTAGCTCCATATAGCGTTTCCGTTTAAATAGTTATTTGCTAGCTCTTGTATAATCGTTGATATACCGGTTATCCTTTTGTTGGCATAAAAACTTGGTATCTCTATTTTGCATATCTCTTCTTATTGTCCGATATCCTCGGGTATAATCATATCTTTAGTTAATCCTATCTTGATAACCTGTATTGGAGGTTTTATTTCCTCGTATAATATCTCCGCTGGTGCTGTATAGAATTTTATATAAAATAAATTTCCTTTCGTAACTCTTTTGTATGTGACGAATGCTTTGTGTAGTTCTGGTATTCCACTAACTTCTTCTCTGTCGTATGTGTATACAGTATTTAACAATCCGTAGTTGTAACATGTTCTTACTAAATTAGCGTTAGTTTTTTATTGTGCAATTAACTTGTTATATCCTTGTAATTTTTGTGTCAAATAATTCTGGTTTGGTTCTTTTGCAGTTGACCTGGGTTGCGGTTTAAATAGGTTTGGATTTTGTGGATATTTTCAATATAGGTTCGTGTGATATAGTTATATGTTTTTTTCTCATTTTGGTTTTGCAAACTATCTGCGTATGTAGATGTTTGTGGTTCTATGGACATATGTCTAGGTGTCCTTTGGGTAAATGGTTTTTCGAATAGCTGGTTTAAGTTAGCATTTTTATGTTGTTTATCACTAACTTGTTTGCTTGTATCTGCAGCTATATTTGAACAAATATTATGGGTTTTAAGGAGTTTCCCATTGTCTCCTTTTAGCTCTGGGTTTTTCCGTCTTTCGATCGACGTAGCTCCGCATTTTTATAGTCATGCTGCTGACTAGCTTTAGACTTTAGATTATCTTCATTAGTCTTTAGCTTTTGTATCTCGTTGTCCATACTGTCCACTTTTATACAAAGTGTAGTTATGGCTTTGCGTATCTCTTCCATTGTATTTTCGTTCTCAGTCTGAGTAGCTTTGTCTTGATAAGTAATCTGCAATAACATTCGTATTAGTTTTTATTACTTCAATTGTAAATGTGAAATTAATATATTTAATATCAATTTCCTTATTTCTTTTGTTGTTACCGAATCTTATATTTTTCTTGTTAGCCACCATTTTACTTGTGTATTATCTGTTCTTATAATAAATTTGTTATATACAATATATGGTTCAAATGATAATAAACACTTATATACTGAATATAATTCTTTTCTATTTATTTCCCATTTTATTTCTGTATTATTAAATGTTCCTGAATAATACCTGCAATGATGTTCTATCGTAGTGTCATCATACCTGTATTTTAATATTCCTCCATAACTTTTTTCACTCGCATCTGATTCTATTATATAAGTAATTTTTTTTTCATCTGGAAAGTATAGTTTAGGTAAGTTTTTACATAATAATTTTACCTTTTGTATTTGTATTTGGTCTTTTTTATCAAACTGATATTCTATATCTTTCTTTAATTTTTGTTGTAATGGTTTTAAATTCTCTGCTAATTTTGGTATGTATTCTCTTACTTGATTTACTAGTCCTAAGAATGACTGTAATTTCTTTTTTGTATCTAGTTGTTCATTTCAGTTAATTATTTTTTGTACTATATGTGTTTGCATTTTTATTCTGTTTTTATCAATTTGTATTCCTAAGAATTCTATTTGATTTTTCATTATATCTGCTTTCTTTTTACTTAGACTTATACCTGAATATTCTATGATGTGTATAAATTTTTCTAATAATCTTATATGTTCATCTTGTGTCTTGGAATATAATAATATATCATCAATGTACACTACACAATTTTCTATTTGTTTAAAGTAATTTGCATTTTTATATTCAAATGACAATACATTCCATTCATAAAATCCTTGTGGTACGGTGAATGTTGTTAGTTTTTTAGATTCTTCTTCTAGTTTTAAGTGATAAAATCCTGATTTACAATCAAATTTACTAAAATAATTATATCCTTGTATTTATCTTATCTTTAGTATTTTATTTGGTATCGGATAATTATATGTTTTGGTTTTTGCATTTAAATTTCTATAATCAATAACCATTCTGCTTTTTCCTCTTTTTTGTTCACTATGCTTATTTACGATAAATGCCGGGCTTGTGTGCTTACTATTGCTTTCTTGTATATATCCTTTTTCTAGTAATTCATTTATATGTATCCTAAATTCGGTTAAATCATTAAAATTATACTTTAATGGTTTTTGGGTTATTATACTATTATTATCAATTAACTCAATTTTTACTTTTGTTTTATGTTTCTCCCATCCTTGTAGAGGATCCTCATTATATAATAATTCTAACTTATCTTGAATTATTTTTACTTTATCTATAGAGAATATAATTAATTCTATTTTAGGGTCTTCTTCTTTTATATTTTCTAATTTTTGTGTAATCTTTTCACTTCCTTTTATCCATTCTGTTGTTTTTCGTTTTTTATTATTTACTCTTTTTGCTCCTATTTTTTGTTTACACGGTGTCGTGAACCACCAATGTGTTTTTGTTATTATATGTAGGTATAATTTTTCTAAAAATGACATTCCTAATAGCATATCTTTTGTAGTTAATTCAAAGTTATATATTTCTTCTATAGTTAATATCTTATCCCATATTTGTATTTTTATATTTTTTGTCTTATATGTAATCATGCTTCCTTCGTTATTAAATCTTGTTACTACTATCGGTGTTTTTAATTTTTCCCACTTATCTTCTGGTAAACAATTGTATTTACATATATTAGCTTCTGCACCCGTATCTATCATTGGTGTATAATATCGGTTGTAATATCCTTCTAT